GTGCAGCGCATTCGTGGCAGACCAGGAGCAGAGTCAGCTCTGAGGCTTCAATAGAGCCTAGAGGAAGCACCCTGGGACAAACAGTTGAGGACCAAGTCCCAGTTTCTCCTGTCCTTTGGCATATTGCTGGGGATTGAGATCAGATAGTCTCCATCTACTGCGCAAAAACAGGCAAGCCTGGAACCACCCCTTTGTAACCAGCAAGAAAATTACTAAGTCAGAGAAGATATGATATTTGACTTCCTGAAAAGCTAAGGTGGGACAGAGGAAGAATTATGCTAAAATGAACTGAAAATCAAGGTTTGGTGATTCAGAAGGACTGCAGAATGATCCTGGATCTAAATCCAAAGACCCTGAGCAGCAGTATTAATACAGGTAGGGCTTCATTATTTTGTTTACTGCTGCATAAACACCTGCTATCTGAGTGAAGATTTATTTTGTACAGAAATAAACTGCAAAGCTTGTCCTTCTGCATTCAATAAGTTACGTCTAACATTTGTCACCAAAAAGATAGACTGTAAACCCAGAATATAAAACCTGAGAATGGCCGTGCTTATGTTCTGAAAAAGTCTGAGAGGGTTAACTTCAGGAAACAGAAAATTGAACTGTCTACTCCAGCTATCAGAATAATTTTCAATGTAACATCAGTACGACACAAATACATGCAGAGATGCTTTCACCAGGTGCAGTGGCTGCTTATGAAGAGAAATTTCAGGGCACACAGAGACCCTCAGACATAAGATCCTGAAGAAAATGCAGGATCGAAAACTTTACTATGTCCCTACAGAGAGAGAGACAGGCACCTTTTCCTTTCTCCAAAAGTACTTTCAGGGGTGTGTAACATAAACTTGACCCTGATTTTCAAAATCTCTCCTCTTGGATGGATTACACATATCTACACAAGATGAGAATACATAATTAGATGAATGATGCCGAAGGTTTGGAGCTGTGAGTAAAATATATCCCTGGCATGTGACTTGAGACTTGAATCTGAGAAACTTGACAAACAACCCATGATATGTTTGCCTGTTCCACTGTATTGTTAAATATGCAATAGAATTGCTGAATGTTATTAATCTTCTGTAACATATGGTTTTAGCTTTCTATATACTTGTGTCCTACAGGTAATAATTAGAAGATAATAAATAATCCAGCTCCTTGATAAACTTTTTCTACATTTCAAACATATCTACTGTGCCTTAAACTTCTGTGTTTTTGTTCTTTTTATGTGGATTAAAACTGGTTATACCTTATGGCAATAGCTTTCCTGCTATTTTAGTTACAATCATTTATCTTGAACCAAGAGTTAAAACTACTTCCCTGCTAAGTAAATACCAGTAAAACTAGTTCTTCCTGCTTTAGACAGGATCCTCTAACCAAGTTTTTCAGTATAGCCTGCATTCTAATATTCTGTACTTACTCCATGGACCTATTTCCTACATAATTTCATACAAAATGTCCTCTTTCTGCTTCTTACAAACAGTGAAAAGATTAGTATCATAATAAAGTAATAGTAGATCTGGTACAACTGGCAGTTGTATCTCAGTTTGGGAGATTGGAGGCAGCTGACATCTGAACGCTTAAAACTGGCTATTGTCTGTCATATTTATTTTATTCTCTCTGGATCCAGACTAAATTTTATTGATTTTCAAGGGGAAAATTGTGCTTAAAAAGAGTTTCTGTTATGAACCTAAAGTGAGTTATGAATAACATTTTTTTTTCATGTGTGTGGAGAAGAAAATGGGGAAAATTAGGCATTAAGACCCAGTAATTAGGCAGTTAAGTGACAGTACAAAATCTGTTAAACATACTGTAAAATTAATTAAAATTTCAAGACCATTCCAAGGAAATCCTAAGCAGCAATTAGGATTTAATTTTTTCAGTCTTGAAAAGATTTAGAACTGGTTTTAAAATCAGGCAAATCATCAGGGGAAAGCACTGTCCCTGTGCTTAGAGAAGGTGCAGGAGTCTTACCTATGAAGTGAGGCCATCTCCTGAGAGGGACTCAGAGACGAGCTGTTCCCACCCCTCTCCCTAGCTATGGGAGTGCCACTAACCAGCGGCTCTGTGGCTCCTCACTGCCTGCCAGGGAATACAGCCAGCCTAAATTAGCAAATTTAGCTGGAAATGCTCTCTGCATGGTTTGTGCCTGTGCTCCCTGTCCTGTCCTGCACCTCCATGCACTGGCTTTTCCCACTGTGACAAGACAGACCCAGCAAATGCTCTAAACCGAGGTGTGATGACTGCCCCAACCAGCAGAATTAGCTACAGCTGTGAGGCATGGTAAGGATTGAAGAGTGAAGTAGATTCCCTTCCTAGCCCCCTCTCCTGACAAAAGATGTCAGCTACTCACCTCCTACACCCCCATCTCTGAGAAACCCTTCAGAGAGACCTGCTGGGCCCAGCACACAAGGGGTGCCTGAGGAAATCCTGTCAATAAAAACCCGTGCCATTGCTCAGGGTGAAGGGACTGGCTGATGCTTTGTAAGGGTGGGTCACTCTCAGACCTGTTCTGGCACAGCTGGGGAGACAATGCACTGTGCAGAAAAAAAGGAGGGAATGCCTGCAGGATTGAGAATGGGAACAGCACAAAACAGGGTTACTGAGGAACATGTGTAATAAAACATCTTCAACCCTGATTTGTCCCCTTAGAACAGCATCATTTGCATATATCTAAGAAACTGTTCTGCTTTACAGCCCAATCCTGAGATCTCAAGCCCAGTTTCTGATAATTGCCAGATAAGTGACTTTTCCCAGTTAGAGAAATCTAGAAATGTTTGAAAATATCAACTTTCATAATTAAGTGATGGAAATATATTAAGGCTGGTTTCCTACAGCAGCTGTCAGCTTGCAGATCCAAAAGTTCTCATACACTTTCAGACTCCATATTCACTTTCTTTGCTTTCTCTGTACACATGTAGGGAGATTAAAATAGTGCATGTTGAATTAGGCAGGGATTTCTCAGCCAGTGACATTAAGATCAGGAGCATATGTGATGTAGATGCACAGTGAGATGACCAGCTGTGCTCTCAGTCTGTTCAATCTGTTAAGAGGAGTAAACCTTGAGCTTTAGGCATTCTTGGGTACAGGTTATGATGTAATAAGATATGTGGAAGAAAATGAAATATGAAATTGGATAATGTATTTAATTTACTGTGCTAATAGGCAGCAGTCTACTTATGATATTGCCAAACAAGCATATTTAATATTTTGCTATGGTGAGTTATTCTGGTGGTAAATTAATTTTCAGAGAACTGGAGGGGAAGCTAAAATGTAGAACTCAAAACCTACTGCTCTTTATAATTATTAAGGCAAACTAGATATTTAGAAATGTGTCAGAACAGACAAACTTATTTTGTTTTTCCATAAGAAGCCGTGTCAGTTTTCCCCTTTTCTTTTTCTTAAGCAGATTACTGCCATCACCATTCTTGCCAACAAGCAGACTCATTGGAATATTTTTCAAACATGAACACAAATATTGGATGCAAGCAGGTGGAATGAATTAATTATAAGCATATGGTTCTAACATAGCGATTTCTACAGAGTTCTGTTGAGACTTCTAAGGGTCTAGCTCTACAACACACTGTGGCAACAAAGCTGCTTTAAGAAATTACCAGTGACATGAATGTAAACGTTTGTGGAGGCGGACTCACTGAGAGGCTGAACGCCCTGCCACACACACATTGCTAGCACAGCTCTCAGCTGTAAGCCATGCCAATGGGGGGCTTTGCACTGCTCCCCCTGCTGCGTTAGCAGAGGTGAACGTGGTGTCAAGCAAACACAGCAGGCAGGGACGGGGAGCTCGGGTGGGGAAATGGTGCTTCCCAAGCCAGTGTCACACAGTGCATGGTGCAGCCACTCAATATGTGCTGCAATAGCCCACGGTCACATCCTCTGTGATTCCAGGCTATGAGTCCTTCTGTGGTAGAGACAACTGCAGGTGTTCCTGGCTTGCGCTGATCCTTGACCAATTCCCAGTCACCCCTACTGATGCAAGACATTATTCACTCTTTCAGTGGAGGAGAGCTCTGAGATAGACTACTGAAACAACCTGAATTAGAGAAAAATAGCCAGAAAACAATCTTAAAGACAAAAAAAAAAAAAAAAAAAAAAAGCTATCTCAGATCCATACAGGGGGATCAGCTGGAGGCAAGAAGCAGCAGAGGAAGTGTGGGCTGGCCACTGCTGGGATGCCAGCACCAAACACAGCTCAATGGCACAGTCTGATGCAGCACCAGCTATCCTGCTTTAGACTGGAATAATATTATAGTTTTATACTCTCCACATTTTCATATTAGAATTCCTGAAGGGTTTTTTGATAGTTAATATAAAATGTAGTCAAACTATAAACATAATGACTATTCAGGTTGTTATTCATTATATTAGGTTTTGTTTAATTAAGCAGAAATGAGATGTGGCATTTTTGAAGACGGCTGTGAAGCAGATATCATAAATAAATAAAAAATATTAGATTTTTACAATCCAATCTAAATTCAGATAGGAATTTATGCCATTATTTGTTTAAAAAAGTTTGCTTGTCTTTTCAGTAGATATTTATGATTACCCAAGAGCTCCATTTTGACAACCTACTGTGAGATCAGCACTTTGAAATACCAGATCCCCTTCTCAAAGGGCTCGAATACAGCTTCACATGGAAACTAGTCTCTGTAAATATTGCTTTTAAAATCAGACTTTACATTCAGATTAATTTTTTTTTTAATCTCAAGCCCTGCAGAATGGCCCAGTATGGCACCTTATAGCTACCATGGGAGGACAAGAAACAAACATAATGCTAGAAATAAGTGCTAAATACTTTTTTTCTTAACAAATATGTCACATGCAAATTATTACAATGTTTTAGAGCAAAACAAACAAAAAATCACCCCAACAACTAATAAAAACCTCTGGCTCATGTGCAATCCAGCAGATGGTGCTATGATGCAATAAACTGGTTCAAGAGTACAAGAAATAGACTGCATGCAAACATTATTCTCCTTTACCTGCTGCTGCTGCTTTTTTGATGGTTGGGTTGGCTGCAGGAGCTTTTGCTGGCTCTTAAAAAAGTAAAAAAAGAAACCATTTATTACAAAGCATTTTATTTTAAAAACCCAACAGAAATCTGAGGAAAGGCTTCCAGTGAGGAAGCCTGTAACAATATTTTTAACTGAAGAGTTAAGCAAAGAGATTACCCAAAGGGAGAAGGGCTGAGTTGTCTTCAATAAACTCAAAGGCAACGACAGAATAACCAGCTGAAGGGTAGTAAGCTCTGGTTTTTAGGCATTGAGTCCCTTCTTTCAGCTTTTTCTGCTCACTATTTCAATATCTATTAGCAAAGCTGAGGAAAGAAGGCATGTAAGGGTTTCAGCATGGCCTTGCCCCTCAGGCAGCAGCTGTGTGCTGGGAGCCTCTGCATCTGATCTTGCAGCTAGGAGAGCAGAAGGTCCTGAGCCAGCCTCTAGCAGCTGTTGAGGACTCACTCTTGTGAATTCAGTAGTGGCACCTCAGGGATTCCCACAGCTATTCACAGTGGCATCCTTTCCCCTAATCTGAAACTGGCCCTGGTTAGAAGAAGTGAAATCGGGCTGTTTTTTCAAAGTACATCAATTGAGTTGGCTATTCCAGGAATCTCCCTCCATCCTGAAGAATGGAGGAGCATTAGGAGAACAACTTCATCTTTGATCATGCAATTTAAAGAGCAATTGCTGTATTCTCCTAGCAGAGAAACGTGCTCTCTGCAGCCGTTTAACTGTTTTTGGTCTTTTCATGAAGCAGTTGCATTATATTATCTTTGTTTGTAGAGCATGTCCTTGTGGAATGAAGGTCCCAATGATGAATGGTGTGAACATCCCCATGTGGATTTGGGGAATCTTAGTCCCATGTAGAAGAACCTAAATAACCTACTAGATTTATTCACTCTTTAGTGAATTTATTACTATTTAGTAATTGCTTTTATCCTCGGGAACAAAACAACCTGTACTTAAACCACAATAGTTTAACAAATATCCATAAGCTAAACTACACCAATGGTCATAAAAGATTTTTTGGTACCAACTAGAAGGTTCTTTAAATTAAAATTCACCTTTTCATATCTTGAGAGGAAATAACTAATCATTTTAATCACAAGCCAAATTACAGAACGCCAAAAAATGTTAGTTAATCCTGCACATCTGTCACTGTATTATTACAATGAAAAAGAACATGGCTAAATCAGGAATGTAATTTTGAATCCTTCCTCTCCAGTCTTTTGAGAAGTTCATAAAAGATGCATCAGATTGTCTTGTGAAACGGAATGAAAACAAAATATAGTTTGCATGTGCAATGTGGATTGCTTTATTTCCTTCCATTTAAAAGCCCACAGCTGATAATTATATCCTAACTTAATTATTATCACAGCATTGTAATTATTTGGGGTATTCAACCCTCCTTCAGCCAAATTTGTAGAAGACCTTGAAGAACAATTTACTCAGTATCCCTTTTCTGATTGCCTGTTTTTGCAGAAGGAGTCCGACACACATGCTCTACAAGTGTCAAATGCACCTAACATGAAATAGCAGGACTCTTTCATTTATCGCCTCTGAGCTCTTAGCTATGAGAGCAATGTCAAGCTATGCTTGACATTGAATTTTTTAAAACCTTTTTTCATAACATCTGTGAAAACAAACTAAGGTTTCTTTGTGTTATACAAAGATTTTGATTTTAAATATTTAATATCTGAGAAACTAAAATAATTTTGAGAAAAAAATAAAATTAAGGATATGTTTGACTAAAAATTTCTGTAATTGATTTAATTTTTATATAACTTTTTAGAAGCATTGAAACAAAATTGCCCAAAGTTTAAACTGGCTTTGGCATACCATTTCCAGTTTGCTATTCACAAATTATTTAAGTGCTAATGATTCTGTATCTTTACATGACCTACCTTCAGCTGGAAATTTTGCTCATGTGGTGGAGATGGGAAGTTTTGCTATGACAAATTGCTGCTGTGGAATTCTCCCATAAAAGGAATCACAGAATGGTTTGGGTTGGAAGGGATCTTAAATATTATCTCGTTCCAAACCCCTTGCCAGGCAGGGACCTCTTTCATGAGACCAGGTTGCTTAAAACTCCATTCAGCCTGGCCTTGAGCACTTCCAGGGAGGGGACATCCCAGTTCTCTGTGGAACCTGTTCCAGCACCTCACCACATCACAGTGAAGAATTTCTTGCTAATATCCAATCTAAACCTACTCTCAGTTTAAAGCCATTATCTCTTTCCCTTCCATTGCATACCCCTGTGAGAAGTCCCTCTCCAGCTCTCCTGTATATTTTATTTAGGCACTCGAAGGGTGCTCTGAAGAATTGTATGCGCAAATTAATAGGTCCTTTAAGACCTGCTTGAAAACAGGCTCTTATTTCACTAACAGGACATTACTTGCAGGGTAAGTCTATGAAATGATTTGTTAGATATTTCTGCAAAATTTGCATAAGAACCCAAAGTATAAGTTTTGGGGGTTTTTTCATTGCCAAAAGAAATCTCTTAATAAATTGCTGCAAAACTGAGGATGGCAGGAGATTGTTCTGCCATAGAAGTCACAAAAGTTCGTACATGGAAATGTATGAACTCTGACTCACTGAGGAAATATAACTCACTCTTTAATTGTGAATTTGAATCAGATTTTGAAACCCCATATTGTTCCTAATTTTTCTTATACACTGTACTTTCAGAACAGAATGCTGAGCAGATGAAGTATTACCAAAGATACTGTCTTACTGTCCTTACTGTGTTGAGGCATTGACACTTGCAAATTTGCAGAAAAGGAAGATGTATCTCCTCCCCTTTTAAATGATACTAAGTTCTCAGAGCATTTCTTGGCTATTTTTTTCAGAAGAGCGCAATCCCCATCTCTCTTCAGCCGCAGAAGTTTCTGTGTTTGAACCAGAGCTACCTCGACAGGCAGGGCCCTTGTTTTGCGTTTGTGAAGATAAATTTGGTGTTCCTCAGCATGTTCAACTCTGAGCCTTCCCAGTCTATTTATGAAAATTGCTGCCACTGAGATCACATTCAGCTGAGACCTCAATTTGACATTTCCTCCCCTATGAAACCTTTGTTTTTGAAGACAGTGATAGGAAAGAGGGGAAGGCAAAGCTGTCAGTCACAAAGAGGAGTGTGCGGTTAGAAGTAGGATAAGAACGGATTAAGAAAGTAGGAGGCAGCTGAAGTCTAAACATATCATTTTTCAATTATAAATGGTGTAGCTACTTCCTTCTTTGTATTTTCAACAACTCAATAACTAATATTTTTGGATTAATGAAATGCACTTTTGAAACTGCATGGCATATATAAGAGATAGTTCCTTACTTTTGAGTTCTTTGGATACAGCAGCTTCTTTTTTATCTGTAAGAGAAAAAACCCAAACACATATGCATAAAAACACAGTAAGGGTAAAGGTAGACAGAAAACTGCAGTGTGTGCTTTAGAGGTGAAACAGCTTATTTGCTATAAAGTGCATCGCTGTGATGCAGTGATTCATTCCACTTCTGATTGTTCCATGGAACAATGACACTAATTTAACCCTAAGGGTAAATACAGGAAAGCCTGTGTGACCCTAAACACTCTTGTTTAATTTTGGTGTAGTGATCTGTGGGGTTTGACACCATGGCTTACATGCAGCGGCTGAGCTATGGTTGCTCACCATGTGCACGTGGTCAGGCTGCAGGAACACAGGGAAGGACGTGCTAGCAGCCCAAGAACAGAGATGTAATGAAAGGCACTCTCCCTGCAGCTGTTGGCAATCACATAACTGAGGCCTACTTTAGAAGATTTTCCACTTAACACCTTTTGAACTTAGAGGAACTCAGCCCTACATATGGTCCATGTAAGAGCAGGCAAAATTCATCCCTGGTTGACTTGAAAAAACCTGAAATTGCTTAGCTGAATCAAAATGCAGCATGGTCAAGCAAACTACCAGAAAGACTTAACTAGGCTGTTCAGTCTACCTTAAGGTAGGATTTTTATACAACCTTTTTGCAGGACTTTTTTTTTTCTGATTGCTGAGAGATTTGGAATCTTTACTGGGGTGATATAAGCGTGCAGAAATATGCAGAGATAGCTTCTCTCTCCATTATAATTTTTGGTGCTATTCTACCTCAGGGTTTTTAGCTGGGTACAAAATCACCCATTTTTAGAAACATTCTTTGTGCTTAACACACCTTTTTTGCTGGTCTCACCTGTACAACCAAGAAATTACTTGTGAGGATCTTGTGAGACAGGAGCAAAGGCGTGCATAGAGCAGTGGTAGAAGGTACTCCCCTGGATGGTTACATGGAAATTAACATCATCTCTAATTAACTATAGCATTTCTGGAATATAGGCAGGATAATTCTTATGTCCACAACATACATGAATGATAAATGAATTGTGCTCTTACACACTAATCTAAGAAATACTTCAGGGCACAAACTGTCAAGTTAAATTGCTTGCAAACCCAAGACTATCCCATTACTTCTAATAATACAAAGTTGCTTCTTTTTCTGTTGCTTTCTAAATTGCTGTGGAGAAGTTGATATGAGATAAGGTAATGCAAATGACTGCCAAGTAGTCTAATAATCTTGAAAAATTTGGAAGAAAATATATTTCTACTTGGGTGATTTGTTGCTGTGAACTGAAATATTTCTGGGTTAATCTTCTGCTTCCACTAACTCTCTGTGAAAGCATGTTCTCCAGGCATTACTTCAAAGTATGATAATTACCACATTTAGATGAAATTAATCATGAAGCAGATTCCAGCCATGTTATCTGGCTAAGGACCCTATTGAAGCCTTCAAGAAGTGTCTATTAGTTGCCAGATATGGAAATTTTGAAAGGTATATATTGCAATGATATGAATCATTTATCTCAATAATCTTCCATTGCTGGAGGTTATAAAAAAATAAATAAATTGACAGCATCATTTACAATAACAGACTGGATCTAAATAAAGCCTTCAAGTTCTTTATTTCCTTTTTTCATATAAGTTACCATTTATTAGGGCAACATACTTTCATATATTTTAAACCCATAATTTATTTTGAAAGTATCAATATGTTTTCCCATCATCTGAAATATATAACATATAGTAAATATAGTAAACAGCTGGACAATTTTTCCAGTAAGAAAACCTTCTAATTTGGTGGGGTTGTGTATTATTTTTTATTTGTTTTTAAAGTGCAGAAAAATTACCAATACTTGGTTCCAACAATACATATTAATATGAAAATGTAAATACTGTTAGGATATTCTTTTCAAGCCAAGGGCTCACATTTGATTTCTAAAGCTGTATTTATCCAGCTAGGCTGGAGTGATTTACAGAAAATTGTCCAGAGGATGTTGTGTAGGACCTTGAACCATGGAAGTACCTTTGAAGGTGTAAGTAGCATTTACATCTACACACTTCATTGAAATTAATCACCAAGTTGCAAAGAAATGAACAACTGTTAGATGATGCAGAAAGAAGGAAAGCTGATAAGGACTTCTGAAGCCCTAAATATGGTTACCTGCTATGAGGCACAATTAACACATAGCTTATCAACTCAATGGAAAACAACACCAAAAATGACTTGGCCATTGAATGATACTGGTGCAATTTGAGACAGTGAGAAATTTGTCTCATTCATTTTTACGTTGCACAGGTCTAGGGTTTCACTTTTAAGCTATGAGAGTGTGGTTGGGAACATAGATTATATAAAATCAGGTTTTAATATTCATTATGTATTTTTCTTAAAAACAACAGCAATATGTTCTCTTGCTTCTTGGTGGGTATTTTTTTCCTGTTAGTTAAGAAGAGGAATTTCCCAAAAAACCCAATTTCTTCATAAAATTTTGAAGGCACATGAAAACACATATGAAGACACATTTTATATTTAGGTCTTCTTAAAGGGCTCCTGCAAACCATGCAAATACTGTGCAATTCAATAATTTGGGTACCTCTGACAACCCTATCAATTTCCTTTTCTTGAAAAAACCTGCAAAAGACTTTAAAAGTCTAAGCTAACCTGATGAAATAATTGGCCATCTGTGGAACATTGTGAAGCACCCTTTTCCTTTTCTGTGGAGGTATTTGAAGACAATTGTATTCTGGTCTATATTCTCAAAGAGTAAGCATGCTTGTACAAGCTCTCCTCAGGTGAATGAACAGGTTTTTCTTTTATTGACTCTTGTGAAAAACTAGAGTAATACTTAAAAAAATATTTTATTAAAAACCATCAAATATTTAAACAAATATGATCTTTGTTCTTATCTCTACAGCTGGAATGATCAGTTTTGAATTCAAAGTAGGAAGAGCATTTGGCAGCCAACACAGGTATATCTCAGTAGAACAGCAAAGCTGTATATTATTTTATTTTATTTTGCCTCTTTTTAGCACATAGCTCGATCTTTTCCTCAGGCCTCGATCAGCATTCGTTTGAAGTAAACTACCAGTACACAGTAACTACAAATGACATCTAAACTACACATGGGGCAAGAAAAAAATCCCTTTAAGCTTATATAGTGCCTTTCATGGCAGTGAGTCCCTAGGAGGTTGGTAATAAGCTATTAGACAAGGATGCCCCAGTGCTCTGGTACAGAGTTTAGTTGTTTGAGTTTAAACAAACTTCCAAAATGGAATATTTCAAACACTGCTATGAAGTGAATTCCAGATCTGGGGTTCACAAAACTTTTAGACCTTTTTAACAATGGATTTAAAATATACTGTACATTGTACATTTCAGAACAGGAGATCTGCTCCATGCAACCTATAATTTTGATGACTAAAAGGAAGTTCTGGGAAATTAATGGATCTCAAATTGTACTCTCTTGAAAGGCTTCTCTGTGTCTTTTTTCCTAGAAATCTCTCACTCAAACATACCTAGGGGTAAAAAAACCTTAAAGTATTATTCAGATAAATGAGCATTTCAGACAGTATATTGATAGCTCGGATAATGACACACCATGTTAAAATAACAGCTAAAACCCTTCTAATTAGAAAAAATTCTTGTATATGTTGTACTTAAAACAACCTTTCTATTTGGAAGCTTAAAAAAGGACTTATTGGTAATATCAAATTTACAAACAGAAACTAATTTCAACATCAGTGGGAACCACAGTGTCCAAGTTGAAGGGTAGCTAATATCCTAACCAAACATGTTGTAACCCAATAGATTCTTCTGCTGCTGATCTGAACTAAGGACCAAGACCCTGGTGAATTACCAGATGCCTCTGGAAGATATGATTCACTGAATCAAAAAATAAAGAAAAAATTAAAATGTTAAGCAGTTACTGAAGTAGGAATTCTCACCCGAAACCTCAATTAACACTTTCAACTTCTGTTTTCTACCTGATGATCACACACTAGAATGGACTTAATCAAACCCCACTGACTGGCTCATGGTCTACACATACCCCAGAAAATAGGTGGTGTGATGAAAATGCCTCACACAACGTGACCATAGTTCTCCAAGCAGAATGTTCCTAGTGAGACTCACACAAATCTTGCCTCATTTCTTGATTCTATTTATTTTGACATAAGTATTCAATTCATCTTGTGATTAAAAGTCAGAGAATAAAAAGAGAAGATGGCAGAAAAATGAACAGAAACTTCAAGAATCAGAAAAAAATTGTGTTGAAAATAAAAATAGCATTTTCCAGTGCTTTGAAGTCAAAACTATGTTGGTTTTTCAGAAAAAATCCCAAAACCTCCTGGCTGTTATTACCAACCAAAGCACAGTCAACTGAGTGCATGCTTTGGGAGCTTGGTTCTGGCTTTGCAAGTACAATGCAATAGCAGAATTTTCATGACATTACATCTTACAACTATGACAGCCAAGGTTCCCTTTGCTGCCCTGAGCAAGCATTCACATGACTGGAAATAAAAATGATAGCAGGTGGCATCTGATGGCTAAGAACTTCCATCATGTGAATGGAAAACATAACTAAAGTCACTCAGAGAACAGTCTCACTACTGTCTGCTCCCAAGCTAACAGATGTACCAGAATTTAGAAACAATTTATTAAGTGGCACAATTTGCAGCTAATATGATTTACAGTGGTAAAAGAGGAACACACCCCAGATAGCTGAGCATTTTTGAAATGAACTGCTGTTGCGCATATAGTAATTAAACAAGAATTGTCAAACCGTCTATTAAAATATATCGTGGTTTAACATTTTTTTTTCATTTATTTGGAGTTCTTAAAACTATTTTCCACAATATACTATTGATTTCAACTAATATTCCAACAATTCAGGGAAATGTTCATTCTTGAAATGCCTTTAAGAATTTCTTACTAAGTTGCTTTTTAACTTACATGATTTTTGATAATTTTTCACTAATTACATGGCATTACTGAAGTAATTTTTACCTTACCACATCTAAAAATATT